TATTATTTTAAGAGCCTTTCTAAAGATACTGATTTTTAGCTCTGACTGTCTATATGACTTCAAAAATTATTCAGTTTTTCAACCTCCCAAAAGTAATGAAAGTTTCCTTCTAAAACTCTCAGGCAACTTCTGATTAAACATGATTACATAAGAACAATTTTAGTCTTCTGTTTCCATGAAGCCTACTGCCTAGAAAAAGGAGACAAACTTTCTCTTCAATGAAACAAGAAAGTAGCTATAGCTACTTTCTATGAAATGATCCCAACAACTATCCACACTTTGTTTCTATGTCTCTTGACTTGTGAAATTTCCCATGAGTACACTGCATTGTCAGCCACTCTAATTATTCTGACTGATGAAGTGGGACCAAATTTGTTCAATTTGTCATTTAGGGTTTGTCACAAGTGGGACCTACATCAGTCAAGGGGTGCAGTGTGACAATGCCCCCAGTGTGATTTCTTGTCTGGCTGGTAAGCCTTAGGGTTCCAAATTCAGTTCAAATAGTTATGTCTAGGCTTTGCTGTTGAAGGAACCACTTGAGGATGTCCATGTCACCAGCCAGCTTATGTTGGGCTGTGCCAGGGAATGACTGAGCAACAGTTATAGAAATGTGGGCTGGAGAAAATATTCACGTGTTTTGCATGGGAGTTGCAGTACTAAGGCTATCCTCTGCTCTTTGTGATACTTTTCTCAGAAAGTCTAAGAGTTGTGGCAATCAAATTTTGGTCAGAGCTATGTGGCAGGGATTGGCAGACCCAGTAGTCAGTTTAATTTAAGGTGTTTGCAATAGTTTGGGAGAACCATGCCAGGCATTCGTTTGTGTGAATAGCTCCAGAAAGCAATTCTGAAAGATGAAAAGTTATTACCGTTCTTTCCTCCCTTCACAGGTGCCAGGGTCATTTTTGCCCCTCCACTACCACAAAATAAGTGTGTCCCATGTCCCACTCTAGTGGACATAACTTCCCCTTTCTTGTAAGCATTCCCTACGTGCATCTATTGACTGGGAGGATCAGGTGCAAGAGGGATAAAGACACTTTTCTAAAGCTTACAGAAACCATTATTTTCTTACTTCAGCCTGCATGAACCACTGTAGGGGAGACTCAACAACAAGTATACTTGGACAAGTGGTTATTATCCTTATGGTTAAGGACCATGTCAATCTAAATAGAGAATCCATGTGACTGAACCAGAATTAAGCTTGAATCCTCTAAGCCCATTTTTAGAGTGTACTGAACTGCTCCCCTAAGGTTGCTGGATTCTGGTGAGAGCTCTCCTACTGGCTTGTAGATGGCTGCTTTCATGCTGTATCTCACGTGGCCTTTCTTTGGAACCTGCTCTGTGTGTGTGTGTGTGTGTGTGTGTGTGTGTGTGTGTGTGAGAGAGAGAGAGAGTGAGAGAGAGAGAGAGAGAGAGAGAGAGAGAGAGAGAGAGAGAGAAATCTCTTCCTCTTCTTAAAAAGCCATCAATTCTAATGAATTAGGACCTTATTGCTATGACCTCATTTAACTTTTATTAGGTCCTAAAAGCTCTGTCTCCAAATACAGTTACATTGGGGGTTGGGACTTCAACATATAAATTTTGGGGGGGGAGGGGCACAATTTAGGCCATACCGGGGAGTACATTTTTATTAGTCAGAATAGTCTCAGCACTGCTGTGTTAACAAATATGTCCTGAAACCTCAGTGAACTAGCACAGTAAAACTTTATTTCTCTATCAGACTACAGAGAGATCTAGGCTACTCCAGTCCTGTGATTCATACATTTCAAACATGATTTTCAGGGACACCTCAGCAAGGAAGAGAGTGTAGAATTAGAAAACCAAATATTAAATATTTTCTTTATAACCATAAAATTATAAAACTGGAGGGGGACATATAATCAAGTCCAATCCTCTTATTTATATTTTACAGGTGAGTAAAATGAGCATAAAGAGGAGAGGTGAGTCACCTAAAGGCACAGAACAAGATGGTGACTGAGTAGAAGTTGAATCCAGCTGTCCTAGCTTAGCATGAGTTAACCAGTGACATGGCTTTCCAGTGAATTTTACAAATATTTCTTATATCAAAGGCTTTAAGTCAGTCTCATCTGGTTGATTTATTAAGTCCTGGAAATCAGAAAAACAAGGTAAATACACTTTTAGTCTAATTATAGCCTAAAAAAAGGAAAATTTACACTCAAGGAATTTAATTAATTTACAAGTTTATTTATCCTTGACATAGGTCTTGGTGATGATTTTTTGGGTCTGACACCAAAGGCAAAAGTAAACAAATAGGATTGCATCAAACTAAAAGGTTTCTGCACAGAAAAGGAAGCCATCAACAAAATGAAAAGGCAGCCTACTGAATGGGAGGAAATACTTGCAAATCATGGGTTAATATCCAAAATATATAAGGAACTCATATAACTCAAAAGCAAACAAAAACCAAAAATCTGATTAAAAGTGGTCAGAAGATCTGAAGGGATATTTTTCCAAGGAAGAATTACAGATGGCCAACAGGTACATGAAAAGATGCTCAGCATCATTAATCATCAGGGAAATGCAAATCAAAACTACAATACAATATCACCTCACATTTGTCAGAAAGACTATTATCAACAAGACAAGAAATAACAAGTGCTGACGAAGATGTGGTGAAAAGGGAACCATTGTGCACTGTTGGTAGGAACATTGTAAATATAAATTGGTGCAGCCACTATGGAAAACGGTATGGAGGTTCTGCAAAAAATTAAAAATAGAACTAACATATGATCCAGCAATTCCACTTTTGGGTATTTACTTGAAGAAAATGAAAACACTAACTTGAAAATATATATGGACCCTCATAATCATTGCAGCATTATTTACAATATCCAAGATATGGAAACAATGGATGAATAGATAAATTGTGGTATATATATAGAATGGAATATTATTCAGCCATAAAAAGAATAAAATCTCGCCACTTGAGACAACATGAATGGACTTCAAGGGCAATTTTGCTAAGTGAAATGAATCAGACAGAGAAAGAGAAATGCTGTATTATTTCTTTTATATGTGGAATCTGAAGGGAAAAAAAAAAGTCATAGATACAGAGGAGAGATTAGCAGTTGCCCCAGAAGTGGTGGGGTTGGGGGGTGGGAGAAATGGGTGAACTGCTTTTTCTTTTCAGTTTTAATAAATTAAATAACATCTAATAATTATTTGTCCCCAAATTTCCATAAATTTAATAATTTAGTTGGATCATACAAACAAAAACTTGCACTGATATATTATTCTGTCTGGAAAAAAATTTGTGGATCTTATTTTTTCAGTAGTCTTTGTTTACTAATTCCCAGTTTCAGAATACATTTGACCACAGTTTGCTTTCTATCCTCTGTGTCTACAATATGCTTTGTAAGTAGAAACCTGACCCTGATAGAGCTTTCTGAAAATTTATAATGTACCATAATGGCAAAAATTCATTTCTAAGAAAAATTCTTCTAATAAATGGAACTCAAGGTAATTCAGTTACTTACAAAATATGTTCATTATTCTAGTGTGTGTGGTATATTGAATTTTTTTACATAGCAAAGGAAATGAAAATCAAACCCACCATATATTCTCTTCTCGATTCTGTATCTATTCAGCCATTCTTAATTGTGTTCCCCTGTGTTGCCATTTTAATTATTAAAGAAATAAATCTAAGACTCAGGCATTAGACATAAATATAAAACCCTATTTCAAAGACTTCTTGTTAATATAAAACTATTTAGATTTTTACTCTATTGCTATCTTTAGAGTAGCAAGAAAGGAAACGCTTGTCTTTTTGAATGACAGGCATTGTGAATATTTTATAAACTGAGCATGGGTTATCACTATGCAGAGAGTGGAGCCATTTCTTCAGCATGACCTTGGAGCAGGAAGATCAAATGGACCTCAGTTCAGTTCAACTCCAGTGTTTCCAATGTTAGTTAGCTGTGTGACTGTGTTAGTCTACTAGTGTTGCCATAACAAAATAGCATAAACTTGGCTTAAACTACAGAAATTTATTTCTCACAGTTCTAGAGGCTGGAAGAGCAAGATCAAAGTTCTGAGCAGGGTTGGTTTCTCCTGAGGCCTTTCTTCTTGACTTGCTGTCTTCACACGGCATTTTACACAGATGCATATCTCTGGTGCCTTCTTCTCATAAGGACACTGGTCCTATTAGATTAGACCCCTACCCTGTGACCTCATTAAATGTTCATTGTCTCCTTTAAAGCCCTATCTCCAAATACAGTCAACATATGAGTTTGGAGGTGACACAGTCCAGTTCATAGCAATGACCCTAGGCGAATAATCTACCTGTGAGCCTCTTTTTCCTGCTGTAGAGCTATTGCTTTGTAGAGCTATTCTGATCATTAAATTACATACTATGTATCCAGTTACCAACACAGTATCCATGCTTAGTAAATACTATACATATGATGACTGCTATTCTAATTGTAAATTTGCCACACCCAACCCTGACTTTCCATCTCCCATTGGTTGTTGCATAGGTATCAAGGAAGCAAAAGACAATAAAAAAAAAGACAATAAAGATATGGTTTTGTTTTATTAAAGATGTATAACTAATGGCATTTGATTTAAGACATAGTTGTATTTATGATAAAAGAGAGATGAAATATAAGTGTACAGATGAGATTTATACTGACTGGAGATTTAATAGGTCATGAGGCTATAGCATTTGAACTAAAAATTAAAGGATGGATATTATTTTGATATACAGACATATGGGAAATGGGGTATATATGGGGAGAATGGAAGGGTATTCTAGAAACAGCTTTTTCAAAGAAATGAATGTAAATAAAGGCAGTATGTATTGGGAATAGGGCAGATCCAGGTATTGTGGGCATGAAACTTACAGAATTTATGGCCATCTTTAAGAAAAAGAATACACATTTGAGAATAAAAATTAGATGCAAAAATGAATATTCATTAAAAATAAAAGGTAAAATCCCACCAAATTACTGGAAGCTTATAGATTCATGACTTTTTCCTTTTAGGTGATTTATCAGAAATGCTTGCAAAAAAAATGCCTCCTGAGTGCAACCTGACTTCCAGGTCCTCTCTTGAACTCTCTACAACTCCCAGCAACTTCTGACATTCAAAAGGCTTGTGCATGTAAGGGGCCCTGGCACATCAAGTTCATTAGTCTCAAGGTAAATCTAAGTGTGGTTAGGAATCGTAAGGCTATATGTGTAGAAGAGCAGGGGGCAAAGGCAGGAGGGGT